ACTGTCGCCTCCCCTTTAAGTAGCTGTGAAGCCAAGCAGCCAGGTTGCCCTTGATCCCAAAGTCAATCTCGAGTTTTTTCTGCAATATTTTATGCGATACACAGTCAAAGGCCTTTTGAAAATCAACAAAAACCACGCCGACAACTTTACTGTTATCAACTGCTCGTCTCCATTGTTATGTCAATTTTATAAGCATTAATTCAGTAGAAAAGCCTTTCCTATAAGTCCATTGGTTTTCAGTGACTAAACTGTGCTCGTAGAATGTATGGTTGACCATTCTTTGAGAGACCGCTGATTCAAAGATCTTGCTGGGTATACTGAGAATAGAAATTGGCCGATAGTTGCCCATGTCGCTCTCATCGTCCCTTTTATGGATAGGGCTCAGCCTAGCCACTTTCCATTGTTCAAACACGTAGCCAGATCTTAGACTTTCACAATAAATATGGTATAATGGATGGACCAACGCATTCCTGGCAGTTTTTAGAGTTCTGGAAGAAATCTTGTCGGGACCGGTAGCTTTATTCCATTTAAGATCTGATAAATGCTTTTCAATTTCAGGTTTTGATAAAATAACGTCTTTGATAGTAGTAACAGACTTTAATGCTGTGGCAGCGCTGAAAAAGTTCCTTGTTAGATTAATTCCTATATTAGAAAAGAAAGAATTCATCAGATTTGATTTTTCCTTACTATCGACTGCCAGAAACCATCTTCCCTCTTCAAGGTTCCAATAGCCTTTCTTAGTTTTGGTGCAGTGGCATTGCGAAGAATATTCCAATACTCCCCAGAGGTTTTTATTTCAAGTAGTTGGCTCTTGAAATGTTTAGTTTTCGCCCGACGTACGTCCGTGGTGATTTCATTACGTAATCTTTTGTATTCCTTCCATTTGCTCGGATCTTTTGTGTGAGTGGCTACTTTGAATAATTTAAACCGTTTGTTCATCTTGAATCTAATTTCGCTGTTAATCCATGGTGAACAGACGCTGCGAACCTTGACGTCTTTACAAGGGGCGTGGACATCACAAACATCGTTGAACAAAAGATTCCAGCCCCAAAGGACGTCGTCTTTGTCTTCGAACATGTCCTGTACGTGAAAAGGTATACGTTCGATATCTTTCTTGAAATCTTGAATGTTGCATCTCTTGAAGTTTCTTGAGCGGACAATCTTCGAAGGGGGTCTTTTGGATTTCAACTTCAAAGCGGCGTAAACTAAACTGTGATCAGATATGCCCAGTGGCAGCACGCCGCATTGACGAACCATGTTTGCTTTAGTTGTAACAATAAGGTCAATTAGGGACTCCGTTGAAGATGTTATTCTTGTTGGTTGAGAGATAATGTTTTTCATATTAAAGTCTTCAATCGTCTCTATCAGCTTCTTCGTTTTGCCCAAAGTAGGCATGTTATTAGGGTCCCTATTTAATAAACAACAGTTAGAATCACCAAGTATAAAGATGCTGTCAGTTTTAAGCCAAGCTTTTTCGAGGACTCCACGAAAGCTTTCAAAGAAATTCGTAGACTCTAGCTCAGACCTATAGAATACGGAGAACAGAGTAGTGTTTGTAGGAAATTTAACCTGTATCCAGAGAGCTTCGATGTCTGAGGCAGCCAAATCTCTGCGATGAGTAACAGATAAATGTTCAACATAATACATGATCGCGCCGCCGCCTTTACGTTGAGATCCATCACAACGTATGAATTTAAGACCAGGAATTTATAGCACATTATCAGGTATTGAGGCGTTTAAATGGCTTTCGCCGATTGCTAGGACATCAAATCTGCAAATTTTCTGTAGAAGACGAATATCGTCTATTTTATTTCGAAGACTGCATACATTGAGATGCGCGATGCGTAGATCGTTGTGCGATGTATTCAAAGAGGCAGCAAACCTTTCGAGGTAGTCGTCTTCGTGTCGTACACAATCACCAGTGTTCTCTGGAACATTGTTTGATAATCTAGCGTCCAGACAGGGTTGGCAAGACCATTCAAAGTTATCCATCAATTGCATAGCTTTATACTGATTAGGCTTAATGTTCCCGCACTTTATGTGAGTCCATCCATTGCATGAGTCACAGCTAACCGCCCTGTG